ATGTTTCTCTCTCTCTCTCTCTCTCTCTCTCTCTCTCTTCCTCTCTCTCCCTCCCACTCTATCTGAACAAAAAACGAGAAAATGTCCTCGGGTGAGGATAAAATAAATAAATAAATAAATAAAACAATGGGATGATAGTAATATTCCCCACCTCCTAGGGTTGTGAGGATTCATAGAGTTGAACCCAGGATAGTCTGTGTCATGTGAGTATTAGTCATTATTGTCAGTGGCTCTATAATTAGTGGAGGCTGCTCGGAGTTTCTTTTTTTATATATACATATATATATATGTATATATGTGTATGTGTATATATATATATATGTGTTTATTGATTTTTAGAGAGAGAGGAAGGGAGAGAGAGAGAGGAACATCTATGTGAGAGAGATACATCATTCAGCTGCCTCCTGCACGCCCCCTACTGGGGATCAAGCCCATAACCCAGGCATGTGCCCTGACAGGGAATCCAAGCAGGACTTCTCAGTTCATGGGACAATACTCAATCCACTGAGCCATACTGGCTGGTCGGGCTGCTCCTAGTTTCTTCACCTCTGTTTTCCCTTCCTGGTAGCTCTCCAAGAGAAGAGCCATTTCCTTATTCTTCCACTGTTCTCTCTCAGGAGCCCCCCTAGAGCAGGGCCCAGTTTTTCTCTTGACTCCATCCCCCCAAGACTATCAGGAAATCTAGGCCTCCAGCCCTGACTGGTTTGGCTGGGTGGTTAGAGTGTCCGCCCAAGGATCAAAGAGTCTCAGGTTTGATTCTGGTCAAGGGCACATACCTCAGTTGGGGTTTGGTCCTGGCCCTGGTCAGAGTCGTGCAGGAGGCAACCAATCGATGTGTCTCTCTCACATCGATGTTTTTCTCTCTCTCTCCCTCCCACTCTATCTGAAGATAAATGGAAAAGTATCCTCAGGTGAGGATTAAAAAAAAATCTAGGCCTCCAGTATTTTACAGCTCTCCAGCAGAGACCTTGTCCTGCCCAGAAGTGTGTGTGTGGAGTGGGGGTGGGGGCTAAGTAGGGGGCCGGAAGTGGTTTGTGGGTATATCTCTGTGTCTCTGAAGACATCACCTTTGTCTAGTAGCTATGGTCTCCCTAGCAGATGCCAGATATGTCTGTGGCCTTGACATCACCCCCACCCTCAGGTCCCTTGGGGGATGGCAAACTGCTGAGCCAGCCCAGACAAGTTGGGGGGGTCACTTCCTCCCCAGCCTTCAGATCCCCAGAGAGGGCTGAGATTTCCGCTCTGATAGCTCCCTGTCAAGAAGAGGACCCAGTTTTCTCTGTGCCTTATCCCCTGTGTGTTGAACACCTGGTTTCGAGAGGTTGCCCAGGCAACACACTTCACTTGGCAGAGGATTCAGTAAGATTTTGCTGAGGTTTTAGTGGACTCCAAGATCTGGCCCAGTACTGAGTGGACACTGAAATCTGGCTCAGGAAAAGGAGCAAAGTCACTGACTTTTCTTATCTCTGCATCAAAGTCCTGTTGCTCTGTGTTAGAATGTTAGAACTGTCTGGTTTCTTCGCCATCTCCAACATCAGACTGTCAGGTTTGGGCGCCAGAAACCAAGGAGGCATCACCAGAGCCAGCACAGAGCATTATATGAATATATATGCTGCCTACATATATGTAGTATTAGTATAGTCTTAATATGAATTTTTAAATTAATAATGTAAACATGTTTATTCTTTTTTAAAATACTTTAAAAAAAATCCTCACCTGAGGATATGTTTATTGATTTTAGAGAGAGGGAAAGGGAGAGAGAAAAGAGAGAGAGAAATTGATGTGAGAGAAAAACATCAACTGGGGATTGGTTGCCTCTCATACTTGCCGCTATCGACCAGGGATCAAACCTACAATCTGGGTCTGTACCCTGACTGAGAATCAACCCACTACTTTTTGGTATTGTACAGGACGACGCTCCAACCAACTGAGCTACACCGGCCAGAGCAACATGTTTACTCTTAATATAAATTTATTAATATTGATAAGTTGAATAATAATATTGACATCTTTATTATCAATGTTGTTGTCTATATTTATTATAGGAATGATTTTACAACTAAAAGTATGGTGATTTGTTACCTTTTTCTTGATTTTTCATGTCTTTGTTTTTAAATTCGTAATATAAGCTAAAAATTTCAAACAGTACCCCAGGGCACAGGATGATAAGTCTGACATCCTCTTACCTGTCCCTCTGCCCCCCAACCCCAGTTCCCCTCCCTGAGGTTAACCGCTATGACAGGTGTCTTGTGCCTTCTCCCAGAGATGGCCTGTGAGCCCCCAGGCAAATGTGTGTGTATTTATACAGCCCTTATAAATATACCCAAGAAGTTCAGGTGAACAGTGCAAACTGGTCTACATTGTGCTTTTTTCAACTTGACATATTGAAGAGTTTCACATCAGTACAAACAAGACTACACCATTTTAATTTTTTTTTTTTTTTTTAATCCTCATCCGAGGACATTTTTCCATTTTTTGCACAGACAGAGTGGGAGGGAGAGAGAGGAAGAGAGAGAGAGGGAAACATCGATGTGAAAGGGACACATCGAGTGGCTGCCACCCGCACGACCAACCAGGGCCGGGGACAAACTGCAACCGAGGTACATGCCCTTAGCGGGAACCGAACCCGGGTCTCTCCGGACCGCAGGCCGACGCTCTAACCGCTGAGCCAAACCGGCCAGAGCTACACCATTTTAATTTTGTACTAGGCATTAATAGGTCCATTTTAATTTCCTTTTCCATCATTTTGTTTTTCTTTCTTTTTTTTCTTTTTTTCTTTTTTGGTACGTGCCCCTAGCGGGAACCGAACCCAGGACTCTTTAGTCCACAGGCGTCGGGACGCTCCAACCACTGAGTCAAACTGGCCAGGGCTTATCTATGTTTTTTATGGTATTCTGTGTTGTGTGAACATTTAAGTTCTACTCTTAGCAAATTTCAATATCACACGGTATTATCAATGATAGTCACTATGTTTCACATTAGATTCTCAGATCTTATTTATTTTATTGCTGAATAGTTGTACCCTTTTACCAACCTCTCCCTATTTTCCCCACCACAGCCCTGGCAGCCACTTTCCTATTCTCTGTTTCTATGAGTCTGTCTTTTTTAGATTCCATATATAAGTGATACCATGCACTATTTGTTTTTTTCTGTGGCTTATTTCATTTACAATAATGCCCTCAAAGTCCAACCATGTTGTTGCAAATGACAGGATTTCCTTCTTTTAAGACTGGATACTATTCAGTGATTTATAAGTGGAAAGTTTTATATATAGAAATATATACACAACATTTTCTTTTTTAAAAAAATATTTTTTCTTTATTGATTCTAGAGAGAGAGGAAAGGAAAGATAGAAACATCGATGAAAGAGAACATCCAGCCCTGGCCGGTTTGGCTCAGCGGTTGGAACGTCGGCCTGCAGTACAGAGAGACCCGGGTTCGGTTCCTGCTAAGGGCATGTACCTTGGTTGCAGTTTGTCCCCGGCCCTGGTTGGTCGTGCGGGTGGCAGCCACTCGATGTGTCCCTTCACATCGATATTTCTCTCTCTCTCTTCCTCTCTCTCCCTCCTGCTATATCTGAACAAAAAAATGGAAAAATGTCCTCAGGTGAGGATAATAATAAAAAAAAAAGAAGAAGAAAGAGAACATCCATTGGCCGCCTCCCACATGTCCCCCACTGGGGATTGGGCCCACAACCTGGGCATGTGTCCTGACTGGGAATCAAACTGGTGACCTCTTGGTGCATGGGTCGACGCTCAACCACTGAGCCACACTGCCCGGGCTACATCACATTTTCTTTATCCATTCATCCATTGTTTGTTTCCATGTCTTGGCTATTGTGAATAATGCTGCAATAAACATGGGAGTGTAGATATCCTTTCTCATAATTTTGCTTTTTTGAAGTATAGTACACATAAAGAAGAGTACACCTACCCTCTACCTTCCTTTCATTGCGCTGTCCAGGTATCAAGCAGGCTTAATTTTTAATTTAATTTATTATTGGAATAGTTAAACGTGTTATAATAATATGCACGTTACAATAGTCAAAAGGTACAAGGGATTAATAGAGTGAAAGCAGCCTCCTTTCCCAGGAAATTTACCAATTTCTTCTTGCTATATTCTGGATATTCTGTGCACATCAGGTAGAACATCAGCTTCACAGGAACAGGGAGTTTGGCTCCCTGATTTGTCTCCATCCTCTAGAATATTGTCTGGCATATACCAGAGGTTTAATGTCTTTGGTAAGTAAACATAAAAGCAGATTATTTATGCACTTTTACAACTAGTATCCTCCTAAAAGGCTGGATGAAGAACAGAGGGTAAACTCAAGAACCAGATAGAGGATTGGCCCCAATTTAGAAGGCAGGGTGCAACCTGGGCCTGCAGGTCAATGGCAGCCAAGGCGGGACAGCCATCTACAAAGGCAGGGTAGGCTGTTGGTTGCACCCAGTCTTCTAGGGGAGAGGGGACAGTGCCTGAATTCTGGGATGCTATCAAGGCAAAAAAAAAAAAAGGTTCTGTATTTGGGATAGGGCGTGGCACGTGGTAGGAACTTGATTATTTTTTTAAATGAACACACTAGGTGCTTATAGTAGGTGCTTCATGTCTCCTTGTTGAGTAAATAAAGGGGATCCCGTGCTGTCCTCCAATTCCAGGGTCGCAAGGAAGGGCCAAGAGTATATCCGTACTTAGAGACAGCTGTTTCAGGTTCAGGCCACCTGGCCAGAGGGAACGTGAAGTCACGGGGCCGTCTGACGTCGTGCGCCAGCCGGTTCTCACCGGAGAGGGTTGGGAGGGGCAGGGCCAGGGTGCGGGGGCGCGTACAAAGGGGTCAGCGCACCACCCCCGCCAGCGCCCGCGCGCGGGGGCCGGCAGACCACATCTGGAATTCATTGCTGCGGCCGCCGAAAGGGGAGGAGATGAGGGCGGGGCGAGTGGGGGGCAGAGGCGGCGCCTCTCCCCGCCCCCCTCCTCGTCTGAATCCCCAGCCCCGGGACGCAGTGGAGCCCGGCGGGCAGCCCCAGCCCCAGCCGCGGCGGTCCCGGGAACGCTGACGCCAAAGCCGCCTCCGGCCAGGGCAGGGACCCGGGCTCGCCTAGCCAGGTGAGCATTCGTGGCGAGGGGGAGGCAGAAAAGGCGGGCCCACCTCTCGGGTTGCGGGATTCGAGCCGGGGGGCACGGCCGAGGGGCCGGCCGGGGGTCAAGGGAGCACCGGGACGCGCACGCGCCGCGGTGCCTCTGCTGCACTGAGAAAATGGTCATCGTGTGCTCTCTCCACGACTCCAGGCGGCCCCCACGGCCTCGACCGCGAACCCCCAGACTGCGCTTACCGCCTTACCCAGCGGCAGGAAGTTGGCGCCGAGAAGGCGGAATCCAAGCCCTTTTGGCTGGAGACTGGGAGGCAGGACAGCGTGCCCCGGGAGTTTGGGGAGTGCGTAGGAGGTGGGTAGGGCGCCCCTCTTGGCTGACTCCCGCTGAGCAAAAGGTGCTGCGCGCTGTGAAGCTTCCAAGCCAAGGGGTAGGGCCCCCGAAGTGGGCAGTCGCCCTTTTCACATCTGGCTCTCTGCCTCAGTTTCCTCGAATAGTCTTCAGTTCTCCTGCAGGGATGTGGCTTTGTTCTGCAAGGAAAGGGAACGTGACTGTGTGGCTCCGGCGCCTCTTCCTTTCCCTGGGGTCCGGGGTTGGGGTGTGGGTGCAGGCGCGCGTGGCACGGGCCCCACTCGGTCCCGGGCCCAGCAGAGCTTCAGAACCTCGCCCCCTCCTCCCGCACGAACTGACTCACCCGGGGATTTCCACCCCCCTCCCCCAACTCTGTTCTAGTCAGATGCTCCAGGCGCTACGCACGGAGCCCACGGTCTCCGTCGTGGCGCGACGCGGATTCAGTATAGGCTGTGCAGCTGAGGCTGGGATCTTCCCCATCACCCCCGAGTCCTCTGGGAATATCGAGACAGGGCACTTGGCGGCATGGAGAGGAGTCCCTCTACCCCACTGGTAGATGTGAAGGTCCCGCGCGTGTAGTTGTTGCAAGAGAGAGGAGGTGCGGCCCCAGCGGTCTGGAGTGTGGATACCGTGCATTCCACCGCCAGATAAGGAGGCCGAGACTGTGGCCCGAGGGAGGGGGCGGGTCCTGTCGCTGTTTTCTAGGCGCCTGGGCTTCTCCTAGCAGGGAGGACTGCCAGTAGATCAGGGGCGTCACCAGCCTCCTTTGCTGTTTGGGGCTGGGCTGAGATTAGGGATCCTCTACCCTCCCTGGCCCATTGGGGCTCGCTCCTTCCTTCCTTCCTTCCTTCCTTCCTTCCTTCCTTCCTTCCTTCCTTCCTTCCTTCCTTCCTTCCTTCCTTCCTTCCCTCCCTCCCTCCCTCCCTCCCACATGTTTTCTGAGCACCTTCTGTATGCTAGGTATCATTCCAAAGGGGCTGCAAATGGACTTGGTCGCTCACAATTACATTCTACTGTGGAAGCCAGAAATACTACACAGTCATACTTTTCAAAATTGCCAAGTGCTTCCCTGACCAGTTTGGCTCAATAGTTAGAGCATCGGCCTACAGACCAGAGAATCTCAGGTTCAATTCCCGGTCAAGGGTATGTACCTCTGTTGCAGGTTCCATCCTGACCTCTGTCGGGGTTATGTGGGAGGCAACCGATTGATTTGTCTCTCTTTCTCTCTGTCCCCCTTCCTCCCTCACACTCTCTCTAAAAAAGCAATGGAAAAATATCCTAATATCCCCAGGTGAGGATTTTTAAAAAATTGCCTAGTGCTGTGAAGATAACAAAGCAAGATGCTGTGACGGAAAGGTGGCCATAATAGACTGGTGGTCAGAGCAAGTGACCTTAAAACTGAAACTTGAGCCCTGGCCGGTTTGGCTCAGTGGTTAGAGCGTCGGCCTGCGGTCCTGAGAGACCCGGGTTCGGTTCCCGCTAAGGGCACGTACCTTGGTTGCAGTTTGTCCCCAGCCCTGGTCGGTTGTGCGGGTGGCAGCCACTCGATGTGTTCCTTTTACATCGATGTTTCTCTCTCTCTCTCTGTTCCTCTCTCTCCCTCCCACTCTACCTGAACAAAGAATGGGAAAATGTCCTCGGGTGAGGATAAAAAAAATAAAAATAAAAACTGAAACTTGAAAGATGAGGAGACACCATTCAAGGATTTTGGGGAAGGGCATGTCAGGTGGAGGGACAGCAGGGGCAAAGGCTCTGAGGTGGAGTTGGCCAGTAGGAGGCCAGTCTGGTTGGAGTGGAATGACCCTGGGGGAGGGTGGGAGGAGGCTAACTGCACAGAGGCCAGGGCATTTGGGGCATTGGGGAGCCAGGGAAGAATTTGGAACTGAGTGACATTGGAGCTCTAAATGAAAAGGCTCCCTCTGGCTGCTGTATGGAGAATGGCGTGTAGGGGGAGACCTGACAGCTGAAGAGAAACCAAAAGAAAGGGTGGGGGCTGCTGTTGGGCAAGAGGCATGGAATCAGTAAGTGAGCAGGGGGGGATTAAACCACAGCCCCTGCCTCAGTGGAACTCGGGGGAGGGGCTCTTGGAAGCCACTGAGCTTCCTCCTGCCTCCCTCCCTCCTAATCTCCCTCTGAGCAATCTTAATCTGTTTCTCTTCCCTTCCCACCAAACCCTGTCACTTATCCCTCTTGCTCCACTTCAGGCTTGGCCATTCCCTGGTTTTTAGCCCAGTGACCTCCTACTGAGCCTCTGGGAGGGAGTCAGGGCTGCCTTGGTGAAGGTGAGCAGGAAACAGGCCCTGTGTGTAGCCAGGCCTGGGAACCCGACACAGGGAGGAAAGGCAGGCAAGGCATGTGTTTGCTAGTCCCAACCTCTGGCTGGCTTCCTCTTTCTGGAAAGCACCAACCTGCCTTGAGCTCCTGCTTTACTTAGCAAAACCCTAGTTAGGAAGATGAAATAGTGTAGGCTCTCCTAGTAGGAGAAGTTTCCCCTCCTGAAGATGCCTATGGCCTCCTGGGGCTACAGAGAGTGAGGGTGCAGTGCTCTGGTCTTATCCCCCAGGGAAGAAGACAGACTTTTTGATGAGTTCCTGGGGTTTGAGGGCTGAACCCATTTCTTATTTCTCCAGGAAGTGACTATAAATCTTTCTCTTGGCCGCCTTACTGGAGAGAGTGGTGGCCTCACTTCAGGGAAGGAGGGGGGCGGCCAGGGTACACGCCCTGGCCTTCTGGCTGCAATAGCAAGGGCGCTTCCCAGGCTAGTGATGGGTCCTTGATTGTCAGTTATAAATCCCAGGAGGGGCCCAGTAGGCCAGGGCAGCGTGGGGGCGTCTGGTCAGGGTGACCTGGCGGTCAGACTGCAGTTCAAACTCTCCTCAGGGACATTCACACAGTTTTAATTCTCCTTGGAAAGAAGTAAGCTCAAGCCTTCTGGAAAGGACCAGATCAGTAGTGGTATCTCCCAACTGGGAGTAGAGTGCTCCCAACTGGGCCAATCAGATGCCAGTAATGGACAGCTCAGGCCAATTAGCGAATAGCTCATGCCTTGGAATTGAAAATAAGCCAGTTAGGGTGCAGGCTGTTTCTGGCCCCACAGACCGAGCATCTGGTAGCGCCAACCCAGCTCCTGGTCTGCTGCAGCGCCAGAGGCACTGTCCTGCACAGGAACAAGGGGCCTCTGTGTGGAGATCTGGGCAGGGCAGCAGCCCCTGGGGATGCACACAAACCCTTCTCTGTTCCCAAACTAGGACGGATGTCCTTTTGCCCAAGGGGAGCAGCTGCTTCTCTGTCAGGTCAAGGTCCAGGGCACTCTGAGGGGGCGACGGGAGGAGATGGCTGAGCGACCCGGAAGTTCCCCATCACTCCCAGGCTCACTAGGAACTGGCCTAACCAGCCTTTTCTGAAAGGTGGCTCCTGATGCACATGTGGTCCTTGCCAGGCCTTGTCAGACATGTTTCCAGGGACCTGGGGAGGGCTCTTCCTGTGTCCCATCCCCCACCCCCATTTAGCAAATGGCTCCCCTCATGAAAGGCAGACACTGCACCAGCTCCTCTGAGATACCTCCCCCTCAAGCTGTGAGGGAGGCCATGATGTCTGCCAGGCATCCTCTCTGTGCCTCTTCCCGCCCCCTCCCCCACGGATTGGTTTTCCTTGAGAAGGGGGTGACTCAGGCTTTCATGGAAACAGATACTATCCCCCCTCTCTGCCAGGCTGCACGCCCCCTCACCTCTCACATGTCTTCAGCACAGCTGCCCCATCCTCCCAGCCAGGACCTCCCAGACTGGTCTCCTGTGTCTCTCCTATCCCATTACCACCTCCCAGCCTTCCTCACAGCGGATGTGACTGGGGAGCAAGGACTCCACCCTGTTTGTTACAGGGGCCTCACATCTGGATTTCATCCTGCCTGGGGGAAGGGGGTGCCAGCACCCTGCCTATCCCTCTGGACCCTCTGTCCAAGGGCAGGGCTAGATGGTGCTGATGAGAACAGGCTGTTGGGAATCTTGCCTGGCTGGCTCAATCAACATCTCCCAAAAGACTGGGTGGAGGGGATCTAGTCCCCAGTAGACTCTAGCAGGAAGAAGGGAGCTAATAATATTTATTTAGTGCTTGCTATGTGCTAAGGGTACCTAGTGCATCATTCAAAAGGATTTTCCTTTTTAATTTTTTTTTCTTTATTGATTTTAGGGAGAGCGAGGAAAGAAGAGGGAGAGAGGGAGACAGAAACATCGATGGGAGAAATATCAATTGGCCGTCTCCTGCACATCCCCCACTGGGGACCTGGCCCACAACCTGGCCATGTGCCCTGACTGGGAATCAAACTGGCGACCTCTTAGTGCATGGGTCGATGCTCAACCACTGAGCCACACTGGCCAGGCGACAGGATTTTTCTATCACCCCTATGAAGTGGGCTTTCTTCTCCCCATTGCACAGTTGAGGACATTGAGGATACTTGTCAATTGACTTGCCCAAGATCCCACATGTCAGAAGAGTGGAGTTGAACCCTAGATTGTCTTCAAGGTCTATGTTTAAGATGATGTGACTTCTGGGATGCTGGAACTTCAGCGCCGCCCTGGTTTCTCCTCAAGACCTTGGGAGCACCTATAGCCTCAAGGTTTACACCTAGCCTGAAATCTAGGGCAGTAGGTGGTAATGAGCAGGGTATGGTGCTATCAGTAGCAAGCATCTCTCTGACCCAGGTTGGCAGGTGGCACAAGGCCCAAGGCTTCAATGTATTTGGGAAAAGAGGCAAGCCAGCCCTCCAGTTCCTGCCCACAGCTCACCCTCTGGGTAGGTGAGCAATGCTTCTGAAGTCCACTTTGTGTGCTTCATGCCATTTGGGGAGTTTCTGAGAGACAGTGTAGCCTAAAGGTTATAGAGGCTTTGGAGCGAGTCTCTTTGGCTCTGCCACTTACTAGCTAGTTGACTTCTCTGAGTTTCCCATCTGTACAGCAGGGATCATGATAATTCTGACTTCATGTGGCCACTCAATGAGGAGTGATGGCCCTGGGACTTGACCCATAGATATTCAAAGTTAGAGCCTAGGCAGCAGCCACAGCACTGACCTGTCTGTCTCTTCTCTCTGCAGCTCTGACAGCTTCATGGCCCCAGCCAGCCACTGAGCCCCACCATGGGCAGCCTGTACTCGGAGTACCTAAGCCCCACCAAGGTCCAGGAGCACTATAATTACACCAAGGAGACACTAGACATACAGGACACACTCTCCCGCCAGGTGGCCTCAGCCCTCATCATCATCCTGTGCTGTGCCATCGTGGTAGAGAACCTGCTGGTGCTCGTCGCAGTTGCTCGAAACAGCAAGTTCCACTCAGCCATGTACCTGTTCCTGGGCAACCTGGCCGCCTCGGACCTGCTGGCAGGCGTGGCCTTTATAGCCAATACCTTGCTTTCAGGCTCTGTCACACTGCAGCTGACACCTGTGCAGTGGTTTGCCCGTGAGGGCTCAGCTTTCATCACCCTCTCCGCCTCTGTCTTCAGCCTCCTGGCCATCGCCATTGAGCGGCACGTGGCCATTGCCAAGGTCAAGCTCTATGGCAGTGACAAGAGCTGCCGCATGTTGCTGCTTATTGGGGCCTCATGGCTCATCTCACTGGCTCTTGGTGGCCTGCCCATCCTTGGCTGGAACTGCCTGGGCCATCTCGAGACCTGTTCCACCGTTCTGCCGCTGTACACCAAGCACTACGTGCTCTGTGTGGTAACCATTTTCTCTGTCATCTTATTGGCCATTGTAGCTCTGTATGTTCGCATCTACTGCGTGGTCCGCTCCAGTCATGCTGATGTGGCTGGCCCACAGACGCTGGCCCTGCTCAAGACAGTCACCATCGTGCTAGGGGTCTTCATTGTTTGCTGGCTGCCTGCCTTTAGCATCCTCCTCCTGGACTATGCCTGTCCTGTGCGCTCCTGCCCTATTCTCTACAAGGCCCACTATTTTTTTGCTTTCGCCACCCTCAACTCACTGCTCAACCCTGTAATCTACACGTGGCGCAGCCGGGACCTGCGGCGGGAGGTACTTCGGCCGCTGCAGTGCTGTCGAGAAGTGGCAGGGGTACAAGGACGGCGGGTTGGCACCCCGCACCACCGCCTCCTGCCCCTCCGAAGCTCTAGCTCACTGGAGAGGGGCACCCACATGCCCACGTCACCCACGATTCTGGAGGGCAACACAGTGGTTTGAGAGACAAGTGTGCTGACAACCAGGCTATGACTGAGGGCTAACAACCAGGCCATGGAAAGGTGCCAGGTGATCTCAGAGAAAGATGTGGTGCTGCCAAGTGAGATGGTCCACTACACAGACCTGGGTGATACTGAAAATATTTTGTACCTGGGATGACCAGCTGAGGCACTGACCTGTTGGAAGAAAGAGCTGCAGCAGAGTCCTGGAGGCCACTGCAGTGACTGGTGTGACCCCTTCAGAACTGGATTGTAGGGAGGTCTGAGGGACCTGGAAATGGCCCAGGTAATAGCAGGCAGGCACTCAAGAGAAACTCAGGGCAGGAGCAATTTACAACCTGGTACAAAGGTTTTCATTTCACATCTGTCTTATGTTCACCCTGTGCCATACTCTCCTCTGTGAATTACCCCCCTTGTCACCTGGCAACCTCAGGCTACTACCCTGGAACCACTGTCCCAAGGGACTGGAGGCCTCTTCCCAGACCATTGGGTCAGCCCCAGCTAACAGTTCCCCGGATGCAAATCCACAGCTTCCCCAAATTTCACCAGCTGGCACTTTGACCACTTCTTCCCTTTTCTCTTACTCCATGAGATGCCAGGAAATCATGGGCTGCATGGGGGGGCCTGAACCCCATTCTTAGAACTCATTGGCCACTTGCACTATTTGGGGCACAGAGAAATCACCAAAGGCTAGAAAAACCTGTTTGGGGAGATGAGGAGGGCTCTGGGTCTCTCAGTGGCACAGCATGGAACTTGAGAAAGTTCTGGGGAAGCTGCCAGCCCAGGACCCTTCTACCCCCGCCAAAATACAACCGCCACCAGGCTACTCCCACCTCCGGCCCCAGCTGAGGTACCAGCTCTCCTAAGGCAGGACAGCCTTGAATCCACCGTGCCTCCTTTCAAGTTGTATTGAACGGAGCAGGGAGTGGGGGTGCCTAGGACATTTGTGGGGACTCTCCCTCAACCTGCCCCAGAAGGACTTTGCCAAATCCTGTGGATAGACAGAAGGGTCATTGCGGTACAAATGTATATTTATGTGTGTCTGTCGTGTGTGTGCATATATGATGTATGTGACTGGATGGATGCTATTCTTCTTATGTCTGTGTTGAAACTGCCAAAGAGGGGTCTAGCCCCACACAGACCCCTTCATAATTGCTGGCTCATTTCCCCACTTGAGAGCTGGGCTACAGCTCACCTTGGGGAAGGAAACCACAAGCCTCAAAATAGTTTCTTGTGAATGCAAAGGCTGGGAGGGTCTTTGGGGGCAAGGAGCCAGTTGGGGGCTTATCTCCCCTCATTCAGCTCCCCAGATGCCACCCAACCCCATGTCTGAGACCAGGCCCAGGCCAATAAACGGTTCAATTTCTCTTTCTGATGCCTGTTGTCTTTTCAAGTTTAAGGTGGTAGTTCCCCCATTAGAACTCTGTGGCTGGGGGTGGATGGGATGGGGGAGGATGGCTGCTGCCCAGGCAACTCACCACCCTTTGTCAACCTTCCCATTCTGCGCCCTCTCCCAGTCCTGCCCAGACCAGAATTGCATTGGCTTTTCAGAAAACGGAGTCAATACTGACATTTGCCCAAGACAGCTGTATGGGACCTTCCTCCTTTCCTTCAAAGAAATATCTGTTGGGTGGTGGGGGCCCCTTTTTCCATCCCAACTATGTGTCCCTCCCTGGGAGTTGTATAGATGATCTTGGGGCCCTTGGGCCCACATGGCCCTCCAGAGCTCAGTAGTCCCCAGAAAAATAGCTGACCAAACACTTTTCAGACACAAAGACGAATCTTCAGGAGGTGGTGGGAGTTACTATAAACTCCTTTTATGGAGATGTGGGTTCAGAGAAGTTAAGTGAGCTGCTCAGGGTCACACAGCCAGTTGGGACAGCACCTGTCTGGATTTGAACTCCAGTGGGCTGACTTGATATCCTGCCAGCTCTACTACTGAACCAGAGAAAGGATCCTCAGCCCCCTCTTTGCCATGGAAATGTGGGCTGCCAGCCCCAGGCAGCCCCAGCTGGAACCAGGAGAAGCCAGGAACACAGCTGGGGGGTGGGTACCTAGCTCAGCACCAGGCTGACACCCCATCCCTTTGCCCACAGGCACAGGGCCCAGTAGCTCCTTTGAAGATCTGAGCTTTCATTAGGAACACAGAGCCCAAGCTGAAGCCTCACCCAGCAACACTAGCACAAATACTAGGGCAACTCGTGGGAGAGGAATGAGGCAGGCAGCAGCCAGAGGCTGAAAGGCCTGTACCCCCACTGGAATTCCCCTTCCCCCAATAGTGAAGAAACAACTTCTATTTGGAAACCTGAGCTCTAGTTGAGATTGGGAGGAAGAGTCATAGGCCAGGCAAGAATCAATAAATTTTCCCCAAATATTCACGTGCTTCCTCTGTCTCCTCCTTCAGGCCTTTGCTCAGATGCCACCTCCTTGTAGAAACTTGCCCTGACCACCTTCCCTCTCAGTCTAGTGCCTTGCCTGCTTACCACCTGGCAGTGTATTATATAACAGTTTATCTTCCCCCATTAAAATATGAGAACCTTGAAGATAGGATTGCATCTGTCTTATTCACCAATATGTCTTTAGCACGTTAGATAGCACTTGGCATGTTCCCACCACAGGGCCTTTGCACCTGCTGTTCCCGTGCCTGGAATGACCTTACCCCAGACATCCTTGTGACTCTTCTCTCCTACTTCAGATCTGTATTCAAATATCACACCCTGGGTGACTCACCATGTATGAGTTTCTTTTCCTATCTGCCTCTCTAACATGGAACACATTTTGCTTCATCCTGTTTCTTTTTCTTTCTTTCTTTCTTTTTATTCCTCACCCAAGGATATTTTTCTATCTGTTATCAGATAGAGTGTGAGGGAGAGAGAGAGACATCGGTGTGAGAGGGACACATCAACTAGTTGCCTCCTGCGTGACCTGACCAGGGTCAGGGATGAACCACAACCAAGGTACCTGCCCTTGACTGGAATCGAACCTGTCACTCATTGGTCCGCAGGCCAACACTCTAACCACTGAGCCAAACCGGCCAGGGCTCTGTTTTTTAAAAAATGGTTTTCATTGATTTTTTAGAGAGAGAGGAAGGGAGAAGGAGATAGAAACATCAATGGGCCTGGCTGGTGTGGCTCAGTGGTTGAGTGCCGACCCATGCACCAAGAGGTCGCTGGTTTGATTCCCAGTCAGGACACATGCCCAGGTTGTGGGCCAAATCTCCAGTAGGGGGCGTGCAGAAGGCGGCCAACTGATGTTCTCTCTCATTGATGTTTCTGTCTCTCTCTCCTTCTTCCTTCCTCTCTCTCTAAAATCAATAAAGAAAAAAAAAAAAAAAGCCCTGGCCGGTTTGGCTCAGCGGTTAGAGCATCGGCCTGCGGTCCAGAGAGACCCAGGTTCAGTTCCCGCTAAGGGCACGTACCTCGGTTGCAGTTTATCCCTGGCCCTGGTCGGTCGTGAGGGTGGCAGCCACTCGATGTGTCCCTTTCACGTCGATGTTCCTCTCTCTCTCTCTGTTCCTCTCTCTCCCTCCCGCTCTACCTGAACAAAAAATGGAAAAATGCCCTCGGGTGAGGATAAAAAAAAAAAAAGAAACATCAACAAGAGAGAGAAGCGTCAACATCCATCGGCGGCTCCCTGCATGCCCCCTACTAGGGATCGAGCCCACAACTTGCATGTTCCCTCACTAGGAATCCAACCAGCGACCTCTTGGTGTATAGGTCGATGCTCAACCACTGAGCCACAACCGTCAAGGCTCATCCTGTTTATTTTCTATTCCCCCCTTTAGAATGCTAGTTGTATGACAACAGGGATTAGTGTCTGTCTTCACTGCTTGGTTCCGGAATGATGACTAGCACACAGTAGGTGCTCAATAAATGTTTATGAAATGAATGAAAACAAAAGCAAATGATGGTCATTTCAGTAAGTGTCAAGTGTTCTGAAGAAAATAAAATAGTGGCCCAGGCCAGTTTTGCTCAATGGTTAGAGCATCAGCGTGAGGACCAATGAGTCACAGGTTCTTTTTTTTTTTTTTTTTTTTTTTTTGAGTCACAGGTTCTATTCAGTCGAGGGCACATACCTCAGTTGTTCATCCCAGGCCCTGGTTGGGGTCCTGTGGGAGGCAACCAGTCGATGTATCCCTCTCACATTGATGTTTCTCTCTCTCCCTCCCTCTCACTCTATCTGAAGATAAATAGAAAAATATCCTCAGGTAAGGATTAAGGAACAAATAAAATTGTGGAAGCAACAGTTTTGGGGTACTCTGTAGAGTAGCCACTATCAGCAGCACTCTAACAGGCAAGGAAACTAAGGCACAGAAAATTCAAGTGAACTGCCCAAAGTCATGTAGCATGTGAGTGGAACTGTCGGAATTTGAACCCAGCCAGTTCTTTTTTTTTTTTAAATCCTTACCCGAGGACATTTTTCTATTTATCTTCAGACAGAGTGGGAGCGTGGGAGAGAGAGAAACATCGACATGAGAGGGACACATAGAGTGGTTGCCTCTCTCACGACCCTGACTAGGGCCAGGGATGAACCACAACTGAGGTACGTGCCCTTGACCAGAATCGAACCTGCGAGTCATTGGTCCACAGGTTGACACCCTAACTACAGGGCCAAACCAGCCAGGCCCAGGCAATTCTTGACTGAAGATCACAAACGCATCTGGTCTTCCTCAGTATCTTGTTCTGAAGATCTACTTTACTGATTATCTCTTAAATCTTGAAGCCTAGAATGGAAGAGACCAACCTACAGGGGTGCAAGATGACCTCCACCTCCTTTCCCTCCAATGAGGTGTTGGATATTAGGAAGCATTAGAATAATCTGGAAGAACCTGTTAAAATGCAGATTCTTAGCTTCTGCAGTGAGAGATTCTGATTGAGTAGGTCTTGAGTGACCCCAGCAATGCATGTTTTGTATCAAAGAGCTCCTGGCATTGTCTTGGGACCATAATCAAAGAAAGTTCTAGACTCCATAATCTCAATAGAACTTTCTGCACTGATGAAACAATGCCATATCTGCCCGGCCTACTTGTGAGCTATTTAGCACTTGAAATTTGGCTAGTGTGATGCAGGAACTAAATTTTAAAAAATGTTTTTATTGACTTTTTTGAGAGAGAGGAAGGGAGAAGGAGAGAGAGAAACATCAACATGAGAGTTTAACATTGATCAGCTGCCTCCTGCACACCCCCTACTGGGGATCAAGCCTGAAACCCGAAACCCAGGCATGTGCCCTGACCAGAATCAAGCACTGGAAGATCCTCAACCACCTGAGCCACACCAGTCAGGGTTGCAGGAACTAAATTTCAACTTTAATTAATTTAAATGTAAATAGTCACATGTGGCCATTAACAATTCTACATTTTGCATCTCTGGTTTCTGCAGCCTCTGTGCAGCTGAACTCTCTTGGCATTATGCCACAATTCAATAAAAATACATATGTCTCACTATCATCATTATTATGAATGACACGGTAGCTTCCACATGTCACTCCATAATTTTTGGAATTTTTAAAAATCCTCACCTGAGCCCTGGCCCGTTTGGCTCAGAGGTTTGAGCGTCGGCCTGCGGACCAAAGAGTCCCGGGTTCGATTTCCGGTAGGGTCACGTACCCCCCCCCCAAAAAAAAATCCTTACCTGAGGATATTTTTTCCATTTCTGTTCAGATAGAGTGGGATGGAGTGAGAGAGAGGGAGAGAGAGAGAAACATCAATGTGATAGAGCCTCATCGACTGGTTGCTTCCCATACGACCCCAACCAGGGCCAGGGATAAACCACAACTGAGGTACATGCCCTTAAACGGAATCGAACCCAAGATTCATTGGTCCACAAGCCAATGCTTTAACCATAGAGCCAAACTGGCCAGGGCGTTGATATAATTATTTTCTTTTAATTCCAAAAATTAGCCCTGGCCGGTCTTGCTCAATGGTTAGAGTGTCAGCACTTGGACCAATGAGTCAAGGGTTCGATTCTGGTCAAGGGCACGTATATCGGTTGAGGTTCATCCCCAGCCCTGGTTGGGGTAGTGTGGGAGGCAACCAGTCAACGTGGCTCTATCACATCGATGTTTCTCTCTGCCTCTCTCTCTCTCTCTCTCTCTCTCTCTCTCTCTCTCTCTCTTTCTCTCCCCCTCCCTCCCACTCTATCTGATATGGATGGAAAAATATCCTTGGGTGAGGAATAAAAAATAATAATAATAATGATATCAAGATTAGGCTCAGCTGCAAATGACAGAAAACACAAAGTATTAGTAACTTAAGAAAAGAAATGCACCCTGGCCGGTTTGGCTCAGCGGTTGGAGCGTCACCTGCGGTACAGAGAGACCCGGGTTCGGTTCCTGCTAAGGGCACGTACCTTGG